TGCAACATAGCTGAGGTGTATCTGGGTGATGCCACATGGTACTGCCTTGTACTTTCCTATGTCTTCAACTCCTCTTCTCTTTTTGGAGACCAAATGGCTTATGTTAAAGAGTCTATAAATTTGACGGCAGGCCAAATACCGAAACATGCAGATTATCTGGCCTCGCAAGCTTCTGAATTTGTTATGAGTTTGTTATGACACACACCAGGCCCATGTAAACATTTGAGTCTGTGACTTCTGTTCTAGATAAAATCTATCCCTGGATCAAGTCAGAGCATCAGATATCTGGTTACCTGGGCCTCACTGTTTTGTCCCTAGGCAGATTGCTGTGAGCAGACCTAATAAACTTGTTTTATTTATGAAAGAAAAGGGAGGAAAGATTACTCTGGCTGCAGTCTCCATAACAGACTGGATTTTTCAGGGGCAAGAAAGGAAATGGAAAGGGTATGAGAGAATGTTGACTTGGACTGGTTGGTTATGGTAGAGATGTAGAAAAGTAGATGCATTTGGTAAGCTTTGGGAGTGGATGGCTTGCTGGTGAACTGAATGGGAATTTGAATGCACTTCCAGAAGATCTACCAATTAGAAATTCTCTGGGTTTTCAAGCTTCTTTGATAAAAATGCAAATATATCTAAGAGGCTTATGACTGGGGTGAGGGTGTAATTTAGTCTGAATTAGTTCCATCAGCTTACTCTCTGCTATCACCTAGGCGAAGTCAGTCATACTACAGAGATGAGAGTTTTACTTGGGGAAAGAATGTTTTGCATAAAGGATATAATCATGTGTGAGACAGGAAGTGGAAGTGCTTGCAAAAATAGAAGCATGAAAGTGCACACAGAAGACACAGAGCGGGGGTGTCAGCACTTGAGAGCACAGAGAACAAGCAAACTTTGGTCTTCTCTGAAAGTCTGTCTGATGGCCTCCTACAGATAAGTCTCCAATCTTTTTTAATACTAGGAATGTTCCCATTTCTTGTACTCCTGTTTGAAGGAGAACATTCCTCCAAGTTGTAGCAGAGGGGAGGAAAAAAATGAAAGCAATAAAAATACTCAAATCGTATTAAGCACTGACAATTTCCTGGTTGCTTTGTTTAAATTCAACCGAGGCTACCTGATTCCCTGACAACGTTTCACTGATATCATATGCTACACAGGAATTTGTAGACCTGAAATATTAAAAACAATCATCAGTTCCACGTGATATAAATAACTATTATTGGTCAATGTTTAAAAAATAATTTCAATTATGTTATTTTAAAGCTATATTTTATATTTGGTAGTAAATATCTGTAATTTTTTAAAGTCCAGTCTTGTTTAGATACAATGAAAGATATTAATTTTATTTATTGTCCTCATTTTTCTTTATGTACTGCCATGTTACTAAAAAAATGAGGACCTGGATGCCAAAATGTTCAAAATACTATCTTTGAGTACAAGTCTGGGTACATTTCAAACTTCACGTGAAGGCTAGTGCTCAGAGCTAAGATAAAACTATGGAAAGAATGAGCAATAGCCAAAAGTTTGGCACACTCCTAACTAGGACTTCTTGGATAGTGATGCTGCATAAAAAAGAACAAAAACAACAACTCACAACCCAAGTAAAACAGTTCTCTGATGTTTTGATTTGTACTTATATTTCAAATATGGGAAAGAAATTTTTTTTTATCAAAAAACCAAACTTAATAAAAAGCAACAAAAAACACTGGCAACAAGTTTGGGCCAAGTAAAAATTATGAAACTTTTTTCAAAAGGCAAAGCATTAAATGGCAAGATAAAAAAATAAATCTTTGTGCTAGCCAGTAAAATTCCATGGATTTGTTCGTTTCAATGTGAGTCCCAAGTCTAATGGCAGGTACGCTCTGTTTGGCTGTGGAACAGAACAGACCGTGTTAGTCTCACATGCTGTCTTCAAACATTCCTTTACATCTCGCCCAAACTCTGTTTGTCCTGCCACACTTGCAAGGTCCCAACACATTTACCAGTATGATCATCCCTCCTTTCTTAGCATCCTTGTCTCTACCTACGGCTTAAGATAAAACCTGGGACAGCATGTCTGTATGGGAAAAAGGCACAGTGGAATCATGGAATCTCAGCGTTATTGATGACTGCCAAATGCATTTTTATAGATAAGAAAACTAAAGCATAATTAGGCTTTAAATCTTGCTCAGAATTATACACTGATTAAGCTTCAGAACTAGAACTTGTCAGGTATTCTTCTCTGAAACTGTAGAGAGACACTTCCTCGTGCATTTTTTACAATTCTGCACATTTTGCAGACAAAGGCACTGACCATCTTTGTTCTGAACTATCTTTTCAAAGGTATTTATATACCAGATAACCTTGAAAGATAGAGATGGTGTCTCATTCCAGAGCAAAGAGAAGGTTTTGTTCAGTATAACAAAAATGACATCTCCCTTTGGGGCAAAGGACAGACATGCGCACTGCCCGTTATAAAATATTCAAACTCCTAAGCTCAGAGTTCCTCTGTTGAACTAAAAATCACTAAGTATACAAGTGTCACCTAGCCCTCTTCACGTCACCCTGTGGGAACTGGGATTCAGTGAACAGGTGCAAATGCTGATAGTCTGCCTACCGCTGTTGCTGTTGTCAAGTCATTTGTCTCTGACCCAGAAGTCTCGTGTCTTTTGCCAGAACCCATGAAATTGTGGCAGGCTGACTTGTGAGCTTGGAAGTAGAGTGAAACCTCAGACCATTCACAGTTTTTGACAGAAACATAAAATCCTAGTAATAATCAATAATATAAAGAGAGGAAATATTGAGTATTGAGAGGCCTGTTGTTTGATTTTTCAAATCTAGGATCATCCAGTTACCATTTTTTTGAGCATTATATGTTAGGTATAACTTATAATATTCTTTATTTATTCAAATTAAATTATACACATACACAATTATACACACACCTATGGAGTCTACTTTATTTTAAAAATTAAATCTATGAAATGGGTTTCATTATCCTCACTTTATAGATTAAAAAACAAAAACCAAAATCCAACAACACGGTGAAGTTAAGTCACATAGCTAACAGGTGGCAGAGCTAAAATGTCTGGTTTCAAAATTTGTGTTTTGCCTGCCTCCAAATGCAACACAGCTCGAAATGGCTTGGGCCATTGTGGCTTTAAATAAAATGGCTTAATTATATAGTATTATGTTTAATTTTACTATCTTACCTTTTTAATAGTACTATATATTTAGATACTGACATGTTGCTATCTGATCTGTATTCAGTATTAAATATTCAATATTCACAACAAATAAAATGTTTTTAATCTCATGAATACTGAGTTTATATTATAAACTATATATTCATAGCAAAAGTCTATAACAAAAGCTATTATTTATAAAGCTTAAATCACAAAATAATGCTGAGACATATTCCTTTAAAGCTACACATCTAGGAAAATTATCTTCAGCCAGAGAAAGATAACATGATAGGAGAAATAATTCCATTTAAAAGGGTGTATATTCCGTAAAACCATCTTGTTAGTCGTAGAGATAAACAGAAAATTAACATACTAGACAGAGTGGAGAAAGGACTGCATGTGTCTAAAACTTATAGATGTTCTTGAGAATAAAAAATGTTTAAAGCAAAAGAAGATAGAAAAAAACTTCATAATTTTATGGAAGCAAAAAATAAAATACAAACTTATGTAATAGTTGTTTGGGGCATTTTTAAAACTGGTAATCCACTTCTGGCTATAAACAGGCTTTCACTCTTATTATTCTATTCTGCTAACTCCAACGCTAAAGAAACTTAATGTTCTGAGTCAACAACGTGGAACTGTAAATAGCAACAAAAAACATACTTGAAAATATGTATGTTCTGTTCAAAATATAAACAAATTTTTTTCAAATTGTCTTAGCTGATTTCTAGATACTTATCTATAATGTATTAATGAAAATAATTATTTTACCTGCTCCTCACAAAAACATTACTTTTTTTATAAAATAAAAAACTATCCAGCTGATGTTTACAAAAGCAAAACAAAAGTTAGAAATTATAGAGTTAGTTACAATTGCAGTAAAACCATAACTACAGAACCAAGTTTATACCTCTTACTTATTTTGGACGAGTATCTTAAATTGAAAGTTTAATTACTGATTCATTTTTATTTTATTTTAATCCTTAGTAAATGACAGAGGACTGTAGTCTTTATAATGAGACATACCAATGTGGTTTATGTTTGCATGGAAGTGGAAACTCCATGGAAAAGCTGATGGGTTAAGATATCACGTTTCTGATTCCACTAGGACACATACACACCCCCAAAAAACAGAATTAAAGCTAAGCAGATCCAAATTTTAATTACATAGTAAAATACTTTCTAGGACCATAAGCTATTAAATATCAAATGGGTTTTAAACAAGAAATTTGAGGAACCTTTCACTGATGGGTTTTAAAAGCAGGCTATAATTTCATCTATGAGGAGTCATATACCATCTGATGGTTTTTTCCCACTCTGGGACTCTATGAGGAAACTGGAGATGGTAACTTTTTGTCCCAAATTTCTAATATTGTCAAGATATAGAATTTACTCATTCAGTATCCTGTCTTAAACATGCAGACAAATTGAGAGGATTTCAGATAGAAGAAACAAATATATTAGGGTCAGATTCAATTAATCATGAAGAAATATATTTTTTAAAAACCTCAAGTTTTATATAACTGAGAAGTACTAGAATAATTGCTTTCAAAATAAAGCAGCAATTGTTTTAAAGACAAACACAAAGGAAGGCAAGGAATATTCATCTAGAAAGTTAGAAGGCAAAACTAAAAGAAAGAATATCAATGTCATGCTTATTTTCGTTATTATCAAGGTCTTTCCATTGGCAAAACCTTGAGGATTCTGGAAGATCTGTGGTAGTAGAATTGAAAGACGAAGGAGCTCAATATGCTGATCTGAGATCTCGTCAGGTGGTGTCTGCTGAGGAAGCCTACATAGCTCACAAGTTTATGCATAAAGAAGCGAACTAAAGATTACCTGGAAATCTTCTAATTATTTGACATAATCCTTCCTTTCTGCAAAGCTGATGCTGCACTTCTGGTAATATGTTTACCTGAAAGAAATGAAAAAGATTCTAGTGAGTTAGGCATTCATAAATGCTAAATCAAGGAAACCCAAAAAACCCACAGGGTATAGATGTGAAGTAGTGTCTACACCCTCCACACCCTACCCTCAAATCTCTGTAAGTCAACATTCAAATCCAGGATAATAAAGTGGTTTATTAGATAGCATAAAATAAAAACTTGTCCTTAGAAATTTTCAAAATATTTGGGAATATTTTGAAAACCTCGATACATTTCAAAACCATGATATTTGTTAGGAATAAAAGGAAATATTTATGTCCTTATGGTAAATAGAGTAGCACAAATAACTTGATAGTTGTAAATTTTGCTTTGCCAAAAAATAGCAATAAACATACCTCAGAGTCAAATAAGTCCAAAGTTCCAAAAACCCTCAGTGATTTGAATCACATAGATATTTAGTGGAAATTCAGTGTTAAACCTGTTTCAAAACTTCATATATAATCTTCACTTCATACTGAAAGGCATTATTACGTCCAAATATAAAACCCAGTCACCACAAAAGTCTATTTTAACAAAAATTTGTTCTTAGAAAGCTTCATAAATTCAAATATATATTTTAACTTATAAAGAAGAGAAAAGACACAAACAAGCTTAACTCCTCCTCTGAATTTAGATTGATTAATTAGCTATTATCAATTAAATCCCCAAAATAATGCCAAATACGGTAAAGCCTTGTTAAAACCAACAGAAAGAGATCAGTGTAAATTAGCTTGAAAATCGTCAGAATCATTTTTGAAGAATTATTGATTATTTTCAAATTAAATCACTCTAAACTAATAAAGTATTATAGATTCTCCATTGTGTCCTGTTGGGATGACTAGATAAAGAGAACTCAGCTGTAGGTGGAGAAAAGAGGGAGCCAGGGACACAGGTTGTAGGTCCCACTTCTGGCACATAATGGAATTGTAATCTTGAGCACATCACTTTGCTTCTCATTTTCAATTTCTCCATTTGTAAAATAAAGCATTTAGAGCCTTTGATCTCTAAGTTTCACTTCTGCTCTAAGGTTTTATCAATTCAGTAATTCAGTCATAAATTGTAGTTTTAATAAAGTGATTCATTTAAAGTGCTTTGAAACAGTTCATCGATTAAATATTCTCCAACACTTGCAATCTTGTTAACTCTATTAATTTACTCAGAAAAGCATTAACTTCAGCCCAGGGCATGTATGAATGAAGTCCAGGCTTCAGCAGAACTCGCTCCTGTGAATCTGCACCAGCAATATTGCTAACGACTCCATCTTGAAAGGCTACAAAGACTAAAGTCTGGGTCACATTCTTATTGCACTGGGAATTGAGAAAAGACTCCACATACAGTGCACTTTAGATTTTAAGGATTCTACATTTCTCAAATTCAAAAGTAAGAAAGTTCAGAGACTAAATGTAGGAAAAGAAGAAAGGCTTTTATAAAGTCCTGAAGTTTTCCATTCAGAATTCCTAAAACAGGCTGGAGGGAAAAGACAGAACACTACAAAAGTATGGGGAATCTGTAACAGACGTTTGCAGTTGTTTTGTTGTGTTTTTTTTTTTTTTTTTTAGATAATACACAGAGAACCTTTCTAAATTAGCTTGTGAAAAGCTTCAAAAGTCAATAAACTTGAACCATTTCCCCCCACATAAGGCAAAATTGCTCAGTTGCTATTGATTAAATAGAATTTTTAACAATAGAAGAACCCAGAAAGAGAATTAGCATTGGGTAAGTAACATTAAAGGTTATGTACTGACACAGGTCCAGCTTAAAACCTTCTCCCACTTCTTGAAGGGCTCAGAGCAAATGTGCTGTCATTGCCGATGCTTCAAGCATCCCAGTTATGCTGCCCCATCCTCTACAAACTGAAAGGAATAGAAGCGTCTTGGTAAAATGGATAACAACTGAACTAATGGGCCAGAAGAATTTCTGTGGATGCAGTGTACAGCTTGCACAGGTTTCAGAAGGGCAGGTTGCTATGTCTTATCAGAGAGATGGCTTTTCATATGAGACCTTGGGTCAGAAAGATGAACTGACTCAGGATCAACAAAGCACTTGCTTCCAAAAACCAGAGCCAAGCCAAGGGAAGCAACTGCTCTCACCCTTCCGCCTCCTAGTTCCCCACCCTCCACCCAATGACCTTTTCCTGTGCTCTTTCCTCCAAAGTACATCTTTGGAATTCACAGAGTTGCAGCAGATGACATAACCATAATGACAAATGACATAAGAAATATCGTCCCATTCTACTCTGGAACTGAGCAGCAAACTAAGCAGTTAAACTGAATAACTTGACACAAAGAAATAAACACATTCAAGGGCTACAGGTCATACAGCTATGGTAAATCAACTATATTACACATATTTTAACTTTTTAATTGTTAAACCTAATAAGGCTCTTCTATAGCCTAGTGCTTTATTCTTATTTTTATGTGCATCATAAAATATATAAGATGTGCATCATTATTGAGTGGAACATCATCAAGGAAATTTTAACTTGGATTAGCTGGCTTTTATAGGATGAGCTTCTCCGGTTTAACATTGCAGTAATTTTTTTAATAGGCTTTATTTTTTCGGTTTTAAGTTCACAGTAAAATCGAGCAGAAGGTACAGAGATTTCCATATACCCACTGCCCCCACATATGCACAGCCTCCTCTATTATCAACATCCCCCACCAGAGTGGTACATTTGTTACACTTGATGAATCTACATTGACACATCATTATCACCCAAAAAGTAATTTATATACCAATTTTGTATTGGGTTTGAATGCTTTATATACACATATATGTGTGTGTGTGTTTATGTGTGTGTTTTATAGATTGCTGTTTTTCTTGGCATAAAACCTTTCATAGCTTTATAAGGATTAGAATGCATATAAAAATAATAGTGATATTTGAGCCCAGGGATATTTCTAAGATCAAATTGGGAAAAAGAAAAAGGTACATTTAAAAAGATTTCAATCCCAAAGTACATTCTACAATCCTAATCTGTGGTAATCTGCATCTAGATTGTTTTTATTACATATTGTCAGAAGCAAAAGTAAAAAAATCATTCTTATTTTGAGACATATTTCATTAATAAGAGCAATAGTATAATATTAATTATAAACATTTAGAAAGTGTTTATAAATCAAAAGAAAAACTACTGTGATAACATTAACTCATTAAGGAGAGTAGATATTTGATTTTGCACCATTTACAGGGAAAAAATTTTTTTGGTCACTCACGAACATTGAGAGTGACATACACTTCACATTGTATCTAAGAGAATTGCTCTTTTTTATTAGATATGTGCAGATCTACATATCTTTTATTTTATCAAAAATAAGACCTCTGAAAGCTGTTCAGTGTCATCCATAAGGAAGACAAATAATGACAATAAGAGAACCAGCTAATCAAAGAAAAAAGTCTTTTTATCCCCCATGTCTCTCACGTGCAATTATCATTCCATCCAATTCATCTGAAAATGCCCAAGCATGCTTTCAAATAAGAGCCATTTCAGTAGTTCTCAGGGCTCCAAGTACTAAAAACAGCATCCTGGTTTGAGAGACTGCTAATCCTACAGTTAGAGCTAGAAATGAATCCCTCTACTCTTGAAACACTAGAACCTGTCTGTTAGAGGTGAGATAGAGCCCCAGTTACTAAACTGAATGTTATCCCAAATAGTGGACCTCACTTCACTTTCAGCATCATATGGACCAATACAGTTTTAAATTCATGTTACTCTCCTCCTGAATAGACTCCTGGCCATTCATTTTGCAGAACAGATCTTATGGTCATTTTCATGAAGCAATTAAATCCCAAAGTTCTGATTAGTAATCCTAATTTGAGCAGGTGCCTTTTCTTTGTTCATTCTAAGGGCGTTGACAATACTACAACGTCCCCAACAAATTTGAAGCAACTTCCGTTTGGAATATTTATGTTTATGTGAATAAGTCATGGCTCATAAAACTTCAAATTATTCATAATCCAAAGTGACAATTATCCAACACGTATCATTTAGAATTTATGTATTCTTTAAGAATATTCATTAGAATAGGCTGAAAATGCAGTGGCTAAATATTTATTTAGAAAGATTCCATAGTATATGGTTAAGAAAACTGAATTTGGGTCTGGCCCAGTGGTGTAATGGTTAAGTTCAGCATGCTCCACTTCGGCATCCCGGGGTTTGTGGGTTCGGATCCTTGGCACTGACCTACACCATTCATCAAGCCATGCTGTGGTGGTGACCCATATAGAAAGTAGAGGAAATATTCGCATGATGTTAGCTCAGGGCCAATCTTCCCCACAAAAAAAAAAAAAAGAAAAAAAAAAACAGAATTTAAAGTCAGACTGCCTGATTGGAATCCTGGTTGCTTCATTTATTAGGCCTAAGGCAATTATCTTAACCTCTCTGTGCTTCAGTCTCCTCATATGTAAAGAATGGACATAAATAAATATGTAAGCCCCCAGAATGGTGCCTTGCACCAATAGGAGGCCTTGGCAGGAGACTGGAAGGTGGCTGTAGAGAGAAGTTGAGTGCTTATCTTCCTAGCTTCCTCTCTGTAGGGCTATGATTTGCCAACAGCTACATTCCCCTACGTTTATAGCTCCTTTCCAGCAACCTCTCTTTCTTGGCTCCAGCTCTCATTAGGTCATGCTACACCATTCCTTCTACATCCCCCTCTTCAGACCAAAGGTGGTCAAATCCTATAATGTTGCTGGTCCCTGGGTGCCTCTAACTTTTTTGTTTCTCTTGTCCTGCCCAAACCTCTGTAGATAGCTCTTTCATTAGTTTCTCTTCAATTAAAACTCTTTTGAGTATGGCATTGGTTTTCTGCTGAAAGGTTGACTGACACACACAATAAATATTGTAGCCTGGGAAAGTGCTTTGAACTTTAGATGTAGATTTGAGAATCATCAATGACAAATGGTAACTGAAACTTTGGGAGTGGTATTGGGGAACAGAGGCATTTAAAGAATAGGCAGAGGAAAGGTGGGTGTGAAGAAAACAGAAGGAATGGACAAAGATGTACAAGAACCAAAAGAATGTGCTCAGCCCAAAGGTCAGGGGAGCAAAGAGTTAGAAGGAGGAAGGAGTTATTCAGAATGTCAATTGCAGAAATATCAAATGACCAGGGTAGCTACTACAGTACTATTTTATTACTGAAAAATAGCCATTGATTTTGACGCTTCTCTCACAGACTTGTTATAGGTATCAAAAGTAGAGCATATGCAAATTTTCCAGCACAGTGACTAGCACATCACAGGCATTTGATAATTTTTAGTTAACTTTTCTAAAAGCATTTAAAAAGTTCACACCAAATAGTAAATATTGGATGTCAATTTTAAAAGTTAATAAGAAATTGTATAAATTTTATCATAATTCAGGATACCTAGTTAAGTTTGAAAAAGTCAAGACAGTGATCTAGAAAACAAAGGCTTTACTACTTTGAATATGTGGCCAGGGCAAGCAACACTCCGTAGGCTATAGACTTCTAGATCAAGTTTTGGGTACTACTAGGTAAAACGGGGTCCTTATTGCTAACTGCTGAAGTTGAGGGGGATCCTATCAAGCAAAAAATGGAGACCATTTGGGGGCCGGCCCGGTAGCATAGCGGTTAAGTGCACGCACTCTGCTGCGGTGGTCCAAGGTTCACAGGTTCGGATCCCGGGAGGGCACTGACGCACCGCTTGTCAAGCCATGCTGTGGCGGCATTCCATATAAAGTGGAGGAAGATGGGCACGGATGTTAGCCCAGGGCCAGTCTTCCTCAGCAAAAAAGAGGAGGATTGGCATGGAATGTTAGGGCTGATCTTACTCAAAAAAAAAAAAAAAATGGAGGGCCGGCCCCGTGGCTTAGCGGTTAAGTGCGCGCGCTCCGCTGCTGGTGGCCTGGGTTCGGATCCTGGTCGTGCACTGACGCACCGCTTCTCCAGCCATGCTGAGGCCGCGTCCCACATACAGCAACTGGAAGGATGTGTAGCTATGACATACAACTATCTACTGGGGCTTTGGGGGAAAAAATAAAAAAAAATAAAAATAAAAAAAAAATGGAGACCATTTTATGGTAAAGTGTGTAAGGCACGACTGCTGGAAATTTCTACAAAGATGTAACAGTTCCTATTTTTCAAGACTGTTTTTCTTTTAACGTAATGAACCAAAAAATACTGCTGTTAATATCCATAAGGCTGATAAAATCTGTGTACATTTTGAAAAAGAATATTTACCTTTTGATGTAAAGCTAACTGGCACATGTCCTCCGTGGATATGCACGGTTTTCCACCAGCTTTCCTAGAAGACAGGCAAATGAGCAGATCCCAGGTGCCCAAATCACCTAATGGCAAAAGAGTATTGAAAAACAAATCATTTTTATCAAATTTTTTAAAGGCATCATTTACTTCTTCAGATTAAAAAATATAATTATTTAAATCCTAAAACACAAGTAACAATGATTTTGGATATATTTAAAAGAAAAGCCAGTACTCAAAGTAACTAAAGTTAACTTTTCTAATTTACCAGACCTAACATTTTTATATGTAGTATTATATCCTAGGGAAAATTTAATTATCTGAAGTGATATCATAAAATTCCTTCAAAAGACTAAAATTAGAATGTTTGAAGTCACTAATTTCATAAATTTACAAAGTCTTATTTGGAAATTGGGAGAAAAGGAGATTATAAACTCTTTTAAGATAGGAGATAGTTGTGACAACAATGATAAGAAGTCAAAATGCCGAATACGTGTTCTGGGGTTCGGTATCACCACTACTTTTCATAGATCTTAAACGTCAAATATACTTTTATAAGATTTCTTCCAAATAAAAAGTTGTGGAGGGCAGAAAATAAAATTAAATGAAAAATATAAAAGACAGGTTTTGTCTAAAGGGAATTTGTCGTCTATTTATAGACAGCAAAGTTGAGTTCAAAATACAGAGTACAACATGGACCAAATCAAATGATATTTCAGCCATTTCACCAAGGGCAAAGCTCGTTGCCCATAAATCCTAGTAACTCGCCAAAATAACCTCAGGAGAGTACCTTCTTGTATAATATTCAAACATTTCAAAAGTAACATTTGTGTGTATATATTGGTTTATTTTCCCTTATTCTCTTTGATTTACTTATTTAAATTTTTATCAACATGCCCTGCATATAATTGGCAACTTAAATTTATTTGTTAAATGAATGAATGAATAACAAGCCCATGATAGGTTGGAAAACACATTACTTCAGAGAGGATATAGAACTAGCTATCTCAAAAATACCCAGAAAAATAACACTCAGTAATGCATAAAAGAATTGATATTACTTGAGAAACTGCCCCCATTTTGGATGGAAATTCAGTTAAAAAACATTAAGCAATTTCTGTACACGTGGTATATTTTGTTGATCAATCCTGAGATAATGTTCTTTCAAGTAACTATTTATGCCAGACCTAACAAGTCATCTCCTGCATTAGGTATTAGTGGCTTCTAGAAAGCTAGAAAATGACCAACCTCTCCAAATCCTATCTTTTAAAACTTTCCCAGAAGAATTTCTCACTTGAGAGCATAATGCTTTCAAAGAAAGGCTTTATGGGGGGGAAAAATTGATAAGAAAGAGTGATCTATGACAATTAGGAATGAAATTTCACTCTCCACTAATCACATTCTTTTCCATCTGACAAGCCCTGTGCTGTCTGAGCTATTGGTTTCTCGTAATTGTCCTGTTGTTAGAAGAGAAACTTCTCTGCTGAACAAAGGCATCCAGACAATTGAACTTGAGTCAACACCTGAGCTCTTGTCCTTGAGCTTCTCTGTTTGCTTGATGTATCCCAAGACGCTGGAAGATAGCACAGTAGTTCAAAGGGACAAGGAGAAATGATGCAGGCTGTTTGGGGATGGGAGAAATTTTTCCACGTAATAGCCATCAGGCCTTAGGCTTCGAGGGTCTACTGTGTTCCACGTGCCCTCACTTTGAAGGAAACTACAAACGGATTTCTATAGTCAAAACCAAATACTCAATGATGCCATTACTTATTTTAAATGTGCAGCTGGCATTTTCAGCCAAAACCTTTTGATATGGATTCAAAAGAGAAAACACGAAGACTGTTTCATTCAATATTATTTCTAGCTCAGGAAACATTAAAACCCTAGAAGAAACCTCCTATTATAACGTACTCAACTAAATATTTTAAGAAGATAAGGATATGCCAAGAGAGGATTTCAAATCATGGACTGTATTGTTTGAGTGTTAAAAACAGAGTACATTTTATATTCCTCCAAGTCTGGGGCATGCCCCCCTTCACTACCCAAGGCACGCACACAATTTCGAGATTTGATAGGAAAAACATATATTTAAGCCATAAATGTTTAAAACTGGAAGATATGTTTAAATAATTCAAAGCATTCAATTTATTAAGAACCTTCTATGAGCAGAACATTGTACTAGAAATATAAAAGCAAATAGCAAAAAAAGAACAGCCACAGCCCTCAGCAATCCATTTGAAGAATCTAAACATTAAAAAGAATTCAGGATAACTTACAAGGCATCACATAGTTTCTTGACATACATAAGGGTTACCCTTCATCTCTCAAAAATACTTAATTAATATTTTAAATCAAAACTTAATATTTCAAAAACTCTATAGTACATAAATTTCCCCTGAAAATAAAGTATAACCAAAAATTTCAAGTGATTTCTTCATATACTTCATGCCTAATTCTTGCTACAATGGTCTGGAAAATGCTGATTGTTTCCACTCAAAATTCCTTTTGTTATCGTCACTGAATTCTACCTCAACCTTTCGAACCTCTCTTTCCTAGTTAAATATTTAGTAGACCTTTTCATTTTCTCTTCATTTCTATCGCCAGCACTAGAAGTCAACTCCCTCTCCCTACTCCCGGAGCCCTTTTTTAAAGAAAAAGCTTTATTTGTTTCATGAGAGGTACTATGTATTCAAACGTGGTTTTGAAAACCCCAAAAGCCACATTGAAATGTAGAAACCAGGCAGAGAAAAAAGCACATTCACTAGCTAAGTAAATCACATTCAGAAGTCAACCTTGGAGCATTTGGGATACAAAGTTGTGCCTCAGCAAAATTACAAATTACTATATATTATGGAGCTTTGAGGCCAGGCTGAACTAGCCGAAAGCATGAGCGTTCAGTAGGCAAATGCCCAGGGTATACAGCGGAGACTGCAAACTGCAGGCGCACAGGGAGAATCAAGCCCGCATACGGGGTGCATTTGTCCTGCATGGTGTTTGTTTTGTTTTTGTTTTTAATTTTAAGTATTTGTCAAAATGCAAACACCAGCACAATTCACATAAAAATCCAGATTTCAGCCTTCATTTGAAAACTTGGAACATGAGGTCCAAGTAACATGAGCTCTGGTAACATGAGGTCCATATCATACAAAGCAGCCACTGGCAGGAGCTGAGTCCAGCTTCCCACATGTTCTTCAGCTTGCCATAGTGGCCATGCCTGGTCCTAATGCTGCCTGGGCTCTGCCTCTAGTAGTAGCAAACAGGCTAGACCTGGTGTAAAACACTGGTATGTCAGTTTTCCATGAATTGCTCATTCAGCAAGTTGATGTTCTATGTTTTAGCTTTTAATGAATTAGACTTGCTCATTAGGTAAATTGGTTTTGTTGAGATGACTGTAGGCAAATTGATACTTGGTCAGTTGGTCTTAAAAGGATGTCTAAACATAACCATTGATCTCCAAATTTGGCCATGTTCTTCCACAAGGTTGAGTTAAGGTCACTTCAGCTCCAAAGACGTTTTATTAGCCGTGTTAAAGAACTGAAGCTCTTTCTCGCAGGAGCCTGGAAAAATCACGAGTGGCCTGTGGCCATCTTTTTCACTTACATCTCTTCTCTCCAGCTGGATTCCTAAAGTGGCCCAGGTCCCACTCCTAGGTGGGCCTGCTCTCATCTCTTTCTCGTGCACACTCTCTCTTTGGACTCTTTTCCACATTCAGCCTGTCTCAGGGCTGTTGCCACAGTAATAAGTGGCCAAGGACAGGCTCTTTCTAGGCATTGGGGCAAACACTGTTAGTGTTGGTCTTACCTGATTTGTTTCTTCTGCCCCCAGAAGGTGGACATTAGGGTGCTAAGAGCTGAGAAATCAGATTTGGATTTGCGAAAAAATAGACCAAGCAGGCCCTGGCCAATTTGGATGATGGCTTTAGGTTTTCCTTGCATAGGGAAAAGGAGACCTTTATGTAATTCAGCCTAGTTCTGTAGAATGCTGCATTAGGAATTGGGTGCCAAAGCCACACTAACAAACAAGTAGTAGTAGTAGTAGCAGAAGTAGTAGTAGTAGTAATGATATCAACAGCTAGTAGTTCTTGAGCACCTACAATATGCCAGGTACTGTTCCAAGTATTTCTATTAATTAATTTATTCCATACTATAAGGACTCTGCCATCTATGATTATTGTATTTCTTAAAAGCACAGAAAGGTTAAATAACTTGCTCAAGGACAGCTATTGAGTTAGTGGTGAATACAGGAGGTCTAGCTCTAGAAGCCATGTTCATGACAATTACATCATTATCCCTTCAGAAAAACGGAGGCAACAGCCTTCACTTTTGCTGTCTTATATGTATTAATTTACGCAGAACTTCCAACAACACTGTGGGGTAGAAATAATTATTACACAGACTTTACAAGAGAGGAAACTGAGACAGAGAGGAATCATCTAGCATTGGTATTTTTCCAATTACTGTCTAGTGTATCTAATTTCCTTTGGGACCTTGGAGGAAACATTGACTACAACAGGTGTAACTCAGGCACTCCGAGACCCTCACCCAACAACAGCACCCCAAAACATTATTAGCAACACCATTGGTAATTGAAGTAAGTTAAATTTTCATACGTGAAGGGAGGTAGTACTCAACTGTGCATGTACTCAGAAACTACAAATACTAACTTGGTCCCTACCTACTTTTAAAAAGAAATCTCTAAAACTTTCTTAGATGCTTTAATGGTTAAAATAATTTCTTTCCCTGTCACAAGAAACCAGAGCAGGACTAGCTCCGAGATTGGGCTAGTCAAGCCCTTGAATAGGGAGGTCGTGGGGCATAGTTCTAGGAAAACAGGACGTGGATGTTCCATTCTCCATCTGATAATTACAAAAACATGAACAATCTACAGGCGTCTCTCCCTCAACTGTGAAACAAAATTGCTGGTAACACTGTTTACTATCATGTCCTCAGTGTTGGCTCTGGAAGCAACGAAGACTCCACAGACGATTTTAGAAGGCGTTGTCAGGGTCCATATTTATTAATGCAGATATGAAATAGCCCTGATTGTACTTTTTACCCTTCTCTAAGTGTTCTCAGAAACCAGTTAA